CAGGGTGGGCCCTGTATCTCTTTTTTAAAGTCTTAAAACCAGCCCTTACTGGCTTGGAATTTAATGTCATTTGTACTTGCTTTCCCCCTGTTTTGTATCACAAGTCTCAATAAAATTCTCACACAACCATCTAGCTTCTCCATAAGTGATCCCAGGACTTAAAGCCACCTTGTCTTGGCCTGGTTTTCTAGCCATAAGCTGTGGAGAGAATGTCAGGTGTCCTCTTCTCCACTTCTGCATAAGTAAACCCTTATGGTCAAAGGGTTAGACTAAACTGAACCTGAAACACATAGCATGGATGACGATTTAAATTTTTGGTAGATAATGTAGTTTAAAACTACATAATATAAAAACCATAGCCAGAAAAATCATGGTTGGCTAGAACTGCTATCTAACATTTTATATAATGTTTTTTTTTTAAAAAAACCTTATATTATAAAGCAAATATTTTCTCATATCTTCAAAATTCTTCAACAACGTGACTTTAATCTTATGGACAAGCGACAATGTTTCTGGACATTCAGGTCCTTTCCAACTATCTTCTATTATAAATAATGCTAGGATAATATTCTTTGTACTTAAAATCTATATGTGCATCTCTGATTTTTAACTTAGGATAAATTCCTAGAAGTAAAACTGTTAAGTCAAAGGGTATGAACCTTAAAGGTTTTGTATCCATCATGCCAAAATAGTCTCCAGTGTTGTGTCCCTCCTTCCACTAGCACAGAGACTGTTTCCCACGACCCCCACACCACACATCCTAGGTGAATGGTGACCCTGGAATGATGTGGGGATGTTGTTTCCCTGTGCTATGACAATACTGGGAATTATAACGAAAATAACAACAGCAAAAAAATTTGCCAACACAATAGGTAAAATAATATCCTTACTGTATCATTTGCATTTCTGATTAATTAGTATTGTTAATCTTTTCCACATGTTTAGAAGTTATTTTTGCATATTCTTTCTCAGTAAATGCCTGTTACATGTCTTTTGGCCATTTTTAATTGGAATATTTGAATTGTTTACTGATTTGTAAAGAACTTTTTTAATGTGGATATTAATCTTTGTTATGTTATAACTTATTTCTCAGTTTTTCAACTCCCCTTCTAACTTTTTATTAAGAAAATTTCAAATATAAACAATATGAAAAAGAATAAGTATAGTGAGCCCAACAGACTCATCCTCCAGTTTTAACAATGATCAAATAATCGTGCTATCTTTTTGGTTAATTTTTTTGATCCACTGATGTTTCACATTTTTGTCAAATCTATTACTTTTTCTCATCATTTCTTTTCTTGCTTTTAAGTTCAGAAAGGACTTTCTGGGCTGGCCACATGTCTTATTGGTTAAGTGCACGTGCTCTGCTACTGGCGGCCCGGGTTTGGATCCCAGGTGCGCACCGACGCACTGCTTCTCTGGCCATGCTGAGGCTGCGTCCCACATACAGCAACTAGAACGATGTGCAACTATGACATAGAACTATCTACTGGGGCTTTGGGGAAAAAAAAGGAGGAGGATTGGCAATAGATGTTAGCTCAGAGCCGGTCTTCCTCAGCAAAAAGAGGAGGATTAGCACAGATGTTAGCTCAGGGCTGTATTTCCTCACAACAAAAAAAAAAAAAAAAAAAAAAAGGACTTCCTTACCATCAGATATAGTCATGTATCTTAATATTTCATTGTTTCATTTTTTACACTTAATTCTTTATTTCACCTGAAATTTATATTGGTATTTAGCGAGAGGTGAGGATCTAACACTGTTTTTATAACCAGTTAATCATTTGGCCCAGCAGAATTTATTAAGTAATTTTTCCTTGCCCTACTAGTGATATTTCAAACTAGTATACTAATCTTAAACACTGAAGGGTTGCTTCTGGGTTTCCAGTCTGTTAAACTGATTTGTTTGTTATTATGTGAGTACCACACTTTTAATTATTTTGCTATAAAATAGACTTTAATATCCAAATTTTGAAAATGATAAAAATTAGAACAAGTTCCTACACAACTTACCAGGTTGCACTTCTTAACAACATCTGGCCCAGGTGTGGCATTAAGAAGAGCTATAATAAGGTAACGATTTAGCAGCTTCCCTAGTCCCAGCTCTCGCAAGGTGTCATGTGGGAGAAGTCCATTCCAAAGAAGAATATTACGGAAGAGCTAAAATAAAACAAAATATCAAGTGACTATATACCTTTTTCTCCCAAAGAAAACTGTAATAGTCTCTAACAAACAAAGTGTTGGTCAAACTCTTTTAAACTCACTATAATTATCACTGCTGGAACTGTCAATTTTAGAATAGAAAACATTTCTAAATAAATACCTGATTCTTTCCAACCATCACATATTTTGCTCATCCTATTTTCATATTTTTAGGAAAACCACCCAAAATCCATCTCAAATAACTTCACTGGAACCTTTTCAGATCAATAATCTTCCTCCTCAATCCACACTCTCCCAGAGCCTGGGGCCACCGGGTACAAGACCACTGGACCCCAGGATTCATAAAGGACTGCCATTACGGCCAGTACCACTGTTACCACTGTGTGACCTTGAGAATCAATCAAACCTGAGAACCTCATTGCTCTGATACATAACATTAATAATTACCCTGTGACTCTGGAGATAACCTGGGTAAAAATACTCATAAGAAATTCTAATAAAATTAATATTGGTTGCCTTTCCCTCCTCTAAATCTGGATCTTTCTGTGACTCTTATGGTATTTCCCACTCTCTCCACAAAAATATATATGTGTATATATATGTGTGTGTGTGTGTGTGTGTGTGTATATATAACACTCAGTGCTAAACTGCACGCAGTTGTACTAACATGCAACGCTCTTTCACTGTCATTGTTGATGATGCTCCCTCTTCCTGGAAAGCTTTTTCCCTGATTCAACCACATGACAAATACTGATTCATCCTATTGGAACTATTCTTGCTGAGGTCACCCATGACCTTCTAATTGTCAAATCCAGTAAACACTTTCGGTCTTTCTCCTAATTCCCTTTGGTGGCATTTAATACTCTGTCTTCATTCTTGAAAACCCTTTGCTTAGTTTCTCTGATGCCACTCTCCTGTGACCATTCTAAGTTTCACAGTTCATTCTAAGGCTTCTGTGAAGACTCTACTTTCTCTGCCCACTTCTGTTCTTAGCCACCTTCTCACGCTTTACTCAGTCTCCTCAGAGGTTGTCATTCGCGACCATGCTCCAAAGACTGCCTACATGTGGCTGACTCCCAAATCTCCGGCTCAGATCCGGGCCCTGCAATTCAGACTCATATATCCAATTGCCTTCTAGACCTCTATTCCTATATTTGTCTCAGAGATACCTTCAATTCCCTATATCCCAAACACATCTTTCCCTCTCACACCTTTTCTTCCTATATCCCCTCCAATGCCCTCAAAGAATGTCATCATAAGAGTTACCAAGCTGCCAAAGTCAGAAACTTGGCTAGCACCCTACATTCTTCATGTGTAATTAACTAGTCATCAAGTCCTTTCGATGGTTCATCCTAAATATCTTTTGAACCCATCTCCTTACCATCCCTACTGCCACTGACTTAGCAATGACTTCATCCTTTATCTTTTAGAGCTTGTGGGTTAAATCCAGCTAGCTGCCTATTTTTGTAGAGCTGGTGAACTAAGAATGGTTTTTATATTTTTAAATGATTAGGAAAAAAAACGTTTTGTGACATGTGAAAATTACATGACATTCAAACTTCAGTGTCCATAAGTAAAGTTTTATTGAAACACAGCCATGCTTATCTGTTTCCATATTGTCTGTGACTGTGGCAAAGCTCAATAGTTCACTAGAGACTATACGCCCTACAAAGCCTAAAATATTTACTACCTGGTCCTTTACAGAAGAAATTTGCTGATCTCCACTCTACAATTAACTGGATTTAAAACAAAAAAAAAGGTTATTTTTATTTTTGTAGTTTTTCTGCTTACCTTCAGACCTGACCAGAACCGTCTTTCTTGGAACTTGGAATGAGGTGATGTTTTGTTTTCTATGGCACTAATTTGAAACAAAAGAAAGAGAAAGGAGAAAACGCAAAGGACTATTAACCTTTCAGAACCAGAGTTTAAAAAGCTCTTTTTTTCTTTCTGGTTTTTTTTTTTTTGTGAGGGGATCAGCCCTGTGCTAACATCTGCCAATCCTCCTCTTTTTTTGCTGAGGAAGACTGGCCCTGGGCTAACATCCGTGCCCATCGTCCTCCACTTTATATGGGACGCTGCCACAGCATGGCCTGCCAAGCAGTGCGTCGGTGTGCACCGGGATCCGAACCGGCGAACCCCGGGCCGCCGCAGCGGAGCGCGCGCACTTAACCGTCTGCGCCACTGGGCCGGCCTGTTTTCTTCTTTTCATGAACCAAACTAAGCCTTAATATAAATGGAAGTGCTCTGATGGTATCTACCAAAATTACAAATGCATGCACTTTGACCCAACAACCCCATTTCTGAGAATTCTTCTGCAGATATACTTGTATATGTACAGAATGTCTATAAAATTATTCACAACATTGTTGGGAATGGTTTACCACTTACATGCCCATCAGTTACAGTACATCTATATGATGGCATCTTATGCAGCTTAAAAAAGAATGATGAAGCTGCTTTGTGATGACATGAAAAGATCTCAAAGATATACTAAGTCAAAAAAGTAAGTTACAAAACAATGGTTACAACTGTTTACAATATACTTCCTTTGCTATAGAAAGGAGGAGAAAATAAGATTACAGCATATATAAATATTTAATTCTAACTGTGGGAAGAAATTCTAGAGAGGTAAAAATAACTACTAACAGTAATTACTATTACACACACAATATTGTATGTGTTTAGAAGAGGAAGGGCAAAAACCAGGTGGACACAGGTCAGGAGCGGGAGGGAGTAAGACTCTTCATTTTAAATATAAATTGATTTTTAAAAATGCACGCCTATACTTCTGAAACCTGTGAATACACTACTTCTCTAAAATATTAAAAAACAAGACTCAACAGTGCAGAAATTTTACATGCGGACATCTCTTCATGATTCAGATTAACTAGCAAGCTTAGACGGTCCTTTCTCTTTCCCTCCGTAAAGCTCTGAACACCCACAGCACACACCCAACACATCAACCACAACAACAAGGACGACAACCAAGCAAACCCACAAAAAGGAAAAAAATGCATCAAATACTACCTGTTGCATTATTTAAAGTCAATACAGAATTCACAGATGCAGTTTCTGGCCCCTCAGTGATGGTCCAGGCCTTATGCTGCGCCTTCTCTGTGCGGGGCATCATTCTGAGCGCTATCTTCATCTTTACAATGTCCTGTGAGGAAGGCATTAATTTAATGCCCATTTTACATATGAGGACACTGATGCACAGAAAGGCCCAAGGTCAAATATGTAGTAATGGTGAATCTGGGCTCCAGAAGCTGCACTTTTAACCACTCTGTTATGCGGTCTGTCATGTTCTTAGGAATAGCATTAAAAAAAAACCCATGTTCAAGTGCCAGGCATCATACATGGCCTATAAAGGTGACTGAGAAATATTGGTTGAATTCTCAATTTGCATCTTAATAGGTATATATATGTTTTGAAAACACTAAATATAGTTTCTACTATATAATACTATATAATACTAAATCTGTATTACATGATTAGCTATTTCATATGATCTAGAAATTAACAGCTCTTACCTCTTTGGATACAGAGGAATAAAAACATCATCTTCTATTGCCTTCTTCATTCTTGAAACAATGGATTTAAGTAGGTCCTATTAAAAATTTAAAAGCATCAGTGATAGTCATAGGTAGAAATATATTTACCAAAAGAAGTAATTTTAACAGTATAGTGCAAATGTGTACACACAGAATCCAGTGTTATAACTATCAATTAAGTACTAATTGGGTACAAGAGAACTTCATTCATCCATGTTGTTGCCTATGGCAGTAGCTGTTGCATTTTCATGGCTGTATAGTATTCTGCTGTATGAATACTACTGCTAGGGCATTTAGATGGTTTCCAGTTTGGGGACTATTGCAAATAATGTTGCCATCTAAGTTCTTGTACATGTCTTTTAGTATGCATGGGCATAAATTTCTAATGGGTATACACATAGCAATGGAATTGCTAGAATATAGTTCATGTCTATATGGTCAACTTTGTACAGAATTCCAAATTGTTTTCTGAAGTAGTAGTAACCTATTTATAGTGCCACCAGCTGTGTATGAGAAATCCTGTTTCCCTATACCCTTACTAAAACTTGTTTTTTAATGTTTGCAATTCTGGTGGGTATGGAGTCATATTTTATTATGTTTTAATTTTTATTTTCATGTTCACTAACGTGATGATGAGCATCCTCTCATATTCTTAGCTGCCATTTGGACACATCCTTTTGCAAAGTACCTAATTAAGCTGCTTGTCTACTTATCTGTTGCTTTAAATTTCTTTTATTAGGTTCTATCTCTTTCTTACTGATTTTCAGAAGCCTTTTATATACTCTAGCTATGAGTCCTTTGTCAATGTCCTCTGAAGCAGTAAATTCACTTTAGCAAATGCATCTTATTGTTTGTACATCAAAAATTAGAAACCAAAACATTCAATCATAAAGACTTTTAAGGATATCATGTTATATCCATCCACTGCATGAAATATTATTTAGCTAAAGTTTATGAAGACTGTAGTAACATACGAATTTAAATATTTAAAGAGATAATGTTAAGTGGAAGAAGTAGGATACAAAATGTACATGTCCATTAGGATTGTAACTTCGAAATAAAAAGCTAGATGAAAATATCCTAAAATTTTCTCAGTCCTTGGTACTAGGATAAAAAGATAAAGGGAGTTTAAATTATTTTTTCATGTCTACCAAAATTTCTATAAGATATTGTCATTATTAAAAATGAATCCATGGAGCCGGCCCGGTGGCGCAAGCGGTTAAGTGCGTGCACTCCACTGCGGTGGCCCGGGGTTCACCGGTTCGGATCCCAGGCGTGCACCGACGCACCACTTGTCAAGCCATGCTGTGGCGGCGTCCCATATAAAGTGGAGGAAGATGGGCATGGATGTTAGCCCAGGGCCAGTCTTCCTCAGCAAAAAGAAGAGGATTGGCAGATGTTAGCTCAGGGCCGATCTTCCTCATTAAAAAAAAAAAAAATGAATCCATAATTGAAAAACGAAAACAGCATACTACACACTACAGTGAAAGTTATATTTTAAGTCGGTGACAATGTGTGTAGCACAAATTAAGGTGTCATATACCCTATACTAATCAAATTACTCATAAAGTAGAATTCAACCAAATATATTTTTTCATAAAAAGTATATCTAACTTAAGTCCTGTTTCTTCTTCCACTTAATTAAATATCTGTAACACATTCCTCAAGTGGCCACATATCAATATTTAATTAACATTAAAAACAAACAAAACCTCAATTTTCTTTTAATTCATTTCTTAAACATTTTGAATTCTCTTAAAAGAATCATTTTTCTAGCCAGTCTCTCCACAAAGCAGCATCTGAGCTTATGTAAATTACTGAGTTAGTGTTTGTGCTAGAAAAGACAGTTATGCTTTGATTTTGTTCCATTTAAATGATTCTGAATGCTAGCTTTTGACCAATATTTCCAAGTTGTTTAAATTTTTGTTTGTTAAAAACAGTTCTCTAAAAAATGCTATAGAGGACACTATTGAGTCAAATGACAGAAGTGGAATATGGATGGTAGATTAAGTACTGTTAAATTTACTAAACCTGACAACTATACTATGGTTATGGAACAGACTATCCTTATTCTTAGCAAATATGCATCTTTACTCCCAAAGCGTTCAGGAGAAAAAAAAATTGTGTGTATATACAAATATAACGGGAGAGCAAATAATAAAGCAAACGGGGAACAATATTAACAGTAAGTGAATCTGGGTAAAGGGCCTATGAGTATGCTATTTTTATTCATGAGAGTTTTCTGTAAGTTTGACATTATTTCCAAATAAACTGTTTAAAACAAAAGAAAACCTAAATAAACATATTTTAAAACTCTGACCTCATATTAACTTTTCCAGGTATTAAAATACATTTGGTGAAAAAAAAAATTCTCCCAACAGTGAAGTTTTAACAACCACATACGCACACCTCCATGTATATACTTTAAAACAGCTTTGAAAAGGCACTTATAAGCTCTACCTAGTAACTTTTAGGCTGCTCTGTGTATCTACGGAGATAATCCTGAGTGGCTCGGCAGATGGTGAGGCCCTCAGGGAAGAAGGAGGGCCGGTGCTCACCACAGCAAGAGCAGCACTGCTTGTGGGTGTGTGTCTGTATACAGGAGCATGTAAGATTTTATTTGAAAAAGGTTCTGTTGATAACAAAGGACGTTTGGAAATCACCAATCTATCTAAACACCCAATTGATGCCATTTTCACATTTCCACTACCTGGTCAACCGACCTGTGCCTGAAAACATTTAGTGACAGGGAATCACCACCTCCCAAGGCCGCCAGAACTTTGGGCAGCTTTTGCCTATTTGATTTCAGTTAACAATGAGAAACAAACTTCTCTCTCCCACACCTTCCACTCCTTGGTCCTAGTCACTTCTTAGGATCATACAGAACAAATCTAATCTCCCTTCCATATGACAATTCTTCATATTTCAAGATTGATATCTCACTTTTCTACATCTTCTCTCTCCCATACCATCTTAAACACTCTCCATTTAATATACTTACACACAGAATTAAATGCAACATACCCAGGGAAGTCTTATCTGTGGGTAGACAACATAACATTTTTACTCAAAGTAGCACACACCTAGTAGGATGAACTCCCATTAGTCTGTTGCTCAAGTGACAGTGTTGACTCACATTGGGTTTACTGTTGATTATAAACCCTCTCTTGTTTTACATATGCTGCCTCAGAGCTGTGTCTCTCCCATCTTTTAGTTATGCAGTTGAATTTTTGAACACAAGGGTAGGACATACGTATATTCCTTTTACATTTTATATTTTGAGAGTCAGTCCATTTTCTCAGTATTTTGAAATCCTTTTGGATTCTAATTCTATTATCCATAGGCCTATAAAAGAATTCCTAGCTTTCTGCCATTGACAAATTTTATTAGCATGTATTTTATATCTTCACTCAGCAGGGCAAAGCTGGGAAGATATCTAATACTAAAAGACTCCCTGTAGGTAGCCACATCCCTATTGGTCATTATTCTTTTAGGTACACTCTACCAGTTTCTTTACATCTAACTGTACCACTGCTAAGCTTATCTTTCCCCGTTTGATCCATAAGAACAATCATAATGTACTTAAATATATTATCTACTGTACCTGTACGGTACCTTATTTATCTGTGAAAGTAACTGAGATAATATGGGAAAATTTGCTTTGATAAACAATCACTTGTATTAGGAACGCTATCAACGATATATTATGGAAATCATAGCTTTTATTAAGTGTTCACGAGCCACCTCTATAATAGTGTACTTTAGAACCTTAACCAGAATCAAAACTATTCTCACAAGGCATTAGCTTACAGAATCATTAGCTTCTCACTTCAAAAACAGGAACCACGCTGTCTGACTCCTCCTTCTGGAAACTTTCTCATTCTCTACAATTTCTTACACATCATTGAAAAAAATAGTGATCTCACTGGAAAACTGTCTTAGTAACCCGGAACATTATGTAGTTAGTGATTCTCAACGAGGAGTGATTTTGCCATGCCCAGGCAATATTTTACAATATCTGGAGATACTTTTGCTTGTCAAGACTGGGGAGTGCTACCGCCATCTAGTGGGTAGAGGCCAGGGAAGCTGCTGAACATACTACAATGCACAAGACAGCCCCCAGCAAAGAACTATCTGCTCCAAATGCCAAGAGTGCCGAAGCTGAAAAATCCTGAGGTAGTCCAGTCTTATACTAATAATGCCCAAAACCCATTTTCAACATTCATAGTGGGAGGGCTTCCAGAATAAAAATTACCAGTATAAAAAGTTCATGAGTGAATCGCTAACACTGCTGAAAGACTTCTGTGATTACAAAGTGCCAGGCCTGGGCCAGCCCGGTGGCGCAAGCAGTTAAGTGCGCGTGCTCCGCTGCAGTGGCCCGGGGTTCGC